TGACACCTCTGAATTGTGCTGTTGGCGAACAATATTGAATATACCATGGACTGCCAAAAGAATGAACAAATCTGTCTTGGGGAAAGTACAACCAGAATGCTCCTAAGAAGCAAGGATGGGGAGACTATGTCTCACATACTTTGGACGTGTTATCAGGAGGGATCAGTCCCTGTAGAAGGACATCACGCTTGGTAAAGTACAGGGTCAGCGAAAAAGAGGAAGACCCTCAGTGAGATGGACTGACACAGTGGCTGCAACAATGGGCTCAAGCGTAACGATTGTGAGGATGACATGGGACTGGGCAGTGTTTCGTTCTGGTGTACACAGCGTTGCTATGAGTTGGCATCGACTCGACGGCACCCAACAACAACAGTCTGAGAAGAACACACCCGGGCTCTCCCAGACAACACAGCAGCAACTCCCAGTAGCTATGTCTTCACATTCATTCTCCTGTATGGAAAAGCCCACAGACCTGAACACAATGTCCAGTGAGTGCCAGCAGAAGCTTCCTACGGCAAATCCGCTCACAGTAAAGGCACCCTCCAGGTGCCCAGAGCTGCAACAGTCTCTTGGAGGAAAAGTTCATCAAAAGCCGATCTCAAACACACCAGGTGATGAGGCCCACTCCCGTATATGAGCTAATGGGCAAGTATGGATAAAATCCATCCCAAAGGAAACCATAAACTAACAAGAATCTACAGGGAAACCTGTGAGAGCTGGAACTCAACGGGACTGCTTTGTCTTCTCAGGTCTCAAAAGTTTTCTGCCTTTGACAGGGTACAGTCTTACCATTTTTCCATTGCTCCTTTTAGTAGAAAATATTTGAGTTTTCCTTTTCTAACAGGCTTCTGCCTTACACATGTTCAGGCTTTTGCAGGTTTTACTGTATAAAAAAGGAGACTTCATTTCTGATTGGACCCCTGGTGGTGCAATGGTTAAGTGCTCAGCTGCTAACCAAAAGGTTGGCAGTTCGAATCCAGCAGCCACTCCTTGGAAACCCTGTGGGGTGGTTCTACTCTGTCCTATAGGGTCGCTGTGAATCGGAATCAACTCGCCGGCAATGGGTTTTTGGTTTGGTTACCTCCGACGGACCCTGAAGTGTCAAACTACCCAAGAACTGAAATGTTGAAGTCATAGGTTTTCATTTCTATTTCACCAGCTCTCAAAACTTACTTTGGTTTGTAAAAATCTATGCCAATCTTTTATGACAAACTATCACTACCGTTAATATAAAGCTTTCTGTAAATATTCATGCCAACACACAGCCATTAATGACGGTAAATTAGCATCAAACATGCAGCTACAGCGATGTCATCTGCAATCCCTCCGGGTGTGGAATCACAGTGGTCTAGGTGTCTCAACAGTGGTGCTACGTCGGCATGGAGCTCCCTGCTTGAAGAGGGTGTCACCTCTCCCCAAACACTGAAGGGCGCACGCACAAGCAAAGGCGCTGAGACTGTGCGCCTGACCCAGCAGTGAGCAGGCACCCTGGACGGAACCAAGCCCGAGAGCTCCGCAGAGCCCGTGCAGACACGAACGCCTGCAATCAGCGCGCACAGACTTCAGCTTGGTGCCTTAGAGAAACACCTGCATTTCTCGGGAGCACTCACACTGACTCCTTAGACTAAGGCATCGTTACTAAGGGTATCACGGTCTGCCGCCACCACTCGGAGGCACTTTCCCTTCACTGCAATAGCATGCAAACTCTGAATCAAGCAGGAAGAGCACACGTCACAGAGAAATCACTTGCTTATTTTACAAACCTGAATCCTTCGGCACTACAGTGACAGGAACGTCTATGAGTCAAAACATACAAACATTCACAGAAATAAACATAAGAACGTACGACCTTGAATATCGAAACTCAGGAACTAGAGGAGGGAGAAGGTCAGTAGCAAGACTCGGGGAGTACCTGGTATCAGACCATCTCCAGACACAAGCGCCCCCCAGCCCGCCGCCCTCTCGCTCACATCACTGAGGCTCCTGTTCCAGGACTTAGGCATCGACCGCTAAAGGGACAAGGAGGGAGCAGGACAGTCCGCAGCGCTAAGGCAGCCATCTCCAGCTCTCAGCTGTGTGATGACGATACACGCAGCAGAAAAGGGGGACCCTGAAACACAGTGTTCCACCCCCCTGGGGAAGGGAGGCCTCGTGGAACCAGGCCCCACAGAGGGGGGTGGCCTGGAGACCCCGCGCAGTGGGGTGGGGAGGGACTGGGACAAGCTGCCCCAGCCCTTCAGTTGGTGCCCCAGGCAGCCGTCGCGGCCCGGCGGACGGGTCAGGGTGGAGTGGGCCCGGGTTCAAGACCACCTCCAGAGCTGAGAAGCCACCACAGGTATACAGGCCCAGGGCTCCCAGGACACATAATCTGACACTCAAATGTCGTCAGTAACTACTTCCATTTTTATAATCACTGGGAAAGCCACACTGGGCACCTGTGCAGGGACCTGGCCGAGGGCCACCACATCTACCTAGACCTGTCAGCTCCTCTGAAGGCATTAATCCTTCCCCCATGCTCAGAAAGTGGAGGTCAGCTCTCTCTTCCAGCGGCCAAACAGCAGGATCCTGCACAGCCCACGTCCACTCAGTCCACAACTGCTTGCTAAGCATCTGCCAGGCGAGGCCCTCAAGGGTGCATACTGTCTGAAGGACAGTAGGACCCGACCACAGCATTGGGGAGGGACGGGGGAGGGACAAAATCACAACACACACGCATGTGCACATCCATGCATACATGCACACACACGCACACACACGCACAGGCATCCACGAGCGTGCACATAATAAGCAACTGCACCCACATGCGCGCACACACTGATCCCATCTCCACAAAGCAGAGGGAACGGTCTGATGCCCATGTTCCTATGGCCCGGAAGCTCAGGGCTCCACAGCCAGCATCTCTTACCAGCTTCTCTCTCCTGTGCGCCAGCCGCCAGCACCTCCTTCTGGCTCTGCAGGGCAGCACACTCCTCCTTCAGCCGCGCCTGCTCCTGGGTTGCCACCTGAAGCTGCCGGCCCAGGTGCTCCAGCTCCAAGACCAGGCGCTGCTCTGACTGCTCCTTCTGGTCCAGCGCTGCCTGCAGGTCTGCCCTCTCTTCTTTGAACCCCTCGATGACGCCTACAGAGAAGACCAGGTGAGGCGGGCACCCACCGAGCACAACCAGCACACACCAAGGGCTGTGGCCTGTGCTCTGTCATGTGGCCGACGCCAGCCGGGGAGGGTAGCAGGAAGTGGAGGAGATGCCTGGCCCCCCGAGAGCTGCCCACACACCCAGACCAGCGCCTGTTGGGCCGCCAGACCAGCCCCCCTCGGTCCTGGATCACCCCCTACCCCCCCAGCACATCAAGGCTCATCCCAGCTCAGACCCTGCGAGCACAGAAACAACAAAAAGCAGGGCTTCCTGGTAGAACCTTGGCCCCCAGCGTCGGCTCTGAGC